CCACACAAAGGTGAGGGAGTAGATTAGTGGGCCCCCAACATGCGGGTCGTGGACCGGCACTGGTCCGTGAGTCAGTTGGTATCGGGTCGCACAGAGAGAAGGCACAACTTACATTATTTACGTTTTATTTAATATCTGATTCTGAACGATGTTTATTTTTTTAAAAATGACCGGATTCTCTCTCCGCCGCATTTGTCTATGAAGCCTTCAAAACTGCTCCACCATGTGGAGACCAAGGGTCCTGCATCTATGATGTTACGATGCCGCTAATAATGTTGACCACGCAGTGGATGAACGTATTATTATTTTTAGGAAGTACCAGTTTTTAGGGTTTTTTTTGTCGTTTTTTTTATCCGTCAGTAACGTTTATTATTATTTTTAGAATGTACCAGTTTTTAGTTTTTTTTAGTCGTTTTTTTATCCGAACACCATAAAGGCCGGTCGGTGAAAAAAAATTTCCGTGGTGCAAAAAAGGGTCGGGGACCATTGAGTACGAATAAGTACTTTTCTTCATATACTGCAGTGCTTCAGCAGTGGTCATGATGATGAAGACTATTGTAGTACTAGTGGATTTGTGAAGTACTGCACTGGTCATAGAAGTAAAAGCAGAGACCAGAGTTTTTTTTTTCTTTATTTCTGGAATTTTTTTTTTTTTAATTCCTCAAATTTCCTCCGTGTGGCAGTAACAGCCGCAGTAGTGACATTCCTCCGGGGCACGTTAAAGTGGTGTGAATCAAGTGTAAACAACAGTCAGCCTTTAGCTCCAGCACATTAGCCTGATTAGATCTCAGCCAATAATAATGAGACGAGCGCTAACTGCTCGTCTCACTCTTATCTGCGGACCAGTCCAAACGCCGGCTGGAGGATCAGTTCTCTGCTGCGCCGCGTGTCGGGCCCATGAAGCTGCAGCCGTGGGACCGGCAGCACAGATAAAGGCAGCTCGAATATGGCTCCGGCTTGGGCTCTTACAGCTCCCCCCGCTGGGGAAATGTGGTTTTATAGATTCTTAGAGAAGATGCAGAAATAATGTGTTTCCACGCAGCAGATCATCCATCTTCACTCCATCCCTAGGTGTCCATGTTGGACCCACTAAAAAAACTGTACCAGAGTGGAGGGTACTACACCCGACTACATCACATACAGATACAGATGGAGCTGGAGTGAGGGTCTGCTGCCCCCAGTGGTCATCGTAAAAGTGATCATTAGGTGGTTAAAGCATCTTGCTTTACAATAAATTGCTCACTGTTTTTTCACGTTTTGGCTAAATAATTAGCTTTTTTTTTTTTTTGCTTGCTAATTTTGAGCTACTTTTGCTACAGTTCAGCTGCGACTAGCTTCCAGATATTTACATGCTAACCACTTTTACTAATTCATGGGTTAATGTTTCACTAGTTGTTGAACAGCTTTAAACTATTTAAGCGCTAACTCTTAGCTAGTTTGCAGCTTTAAATGTTGCTTGTTCTTTCCGTTATTTATTTATTTATTTTTGTATTCTTTTGGGGAAAAAAACACTTTTACTAAGTGTATTTGCATTAGCATTTTTCACTAACATATATTTAAAAACTTGTTGGATTCTTAGTTCTTTTAGCCAGGGAAATTCAGGGGAAATTATTAGCCATATTTTTTTCCTATGTTCGGGCACATGGCCAGAGTTTTAACACTTCTGTCCCCTAGGGGGAGCATACCAGAAAATAATTAAGAAAAACTACTTTAACACAAGTTTTAATCTTTTAGCTTTTGTTTTGTTTTAATATTAGCATTTTCTGTGACATAGTTTAGACTTTTTAAAACTGACTCGTGTTTTTGTACCGTGGGTTTTAAATCTAAATAAGAACTTTTATCGTTCAGGAGTATTTATCCTGAGTTCCCCAAGACCGATTCTGCTGAACTCTGGACTCTGAATTGTTAACCGTCACAGTGTCTTACACAGTGAACTGTCTCCGTCTCCGTCTCAACGTTTCCCCCGTGAGACGATGTTTCCTGGACACAAACGTCGTGTTCTTGTCCTTGTGTCACTTCCTGGTCTTAGAGTCGATCAGTGTCACTTCAGTCCTGGGTTTTCATACGTCTGAAACACACACACACACACACCTGAGAGACAGCTTTTTTTAACCTCCCCCGTCCTCTCCCCCCCCCCCCGGTCTCTCTCTCTCCCTTGCCCTCCACATTAAACCTCCCTCCTCAGCTCATTTTTCCTCATCACTACTCCTCCTCCTCCCCTCCGTTCATACATCCTGATTTAGCCGGCTTGTCCATATTTCCTTCTTTACGCCCGTCCTCTCTCCTCACCTGTCCTCTCCTGTCTCCCCCCCC